TCTCGTGGCCACTTTTTGCCGTCGATGGCATAATCAACATTTATATGTAACGTTTCGTCTCTCCAGGACCACCATCAACTTCATTTTTCTAAATACGATCCTAGAAATTTTATTACATTTTTTTGCAAGCCTTCATGATTCCCAATACTGTACTGCCTCAGCCCGAACCAGATTCAGACGTTTTGTCTCGAAAAATTCATCTTCACTGTATTCGTTCCAAATTTATCTAAACTTTTTATTTAGATTTCTCTGTTTATTAAATTATCGTACAGTGTAAGTATCGTTAGACCCTGTGAAATCCAACTATTACCACCACGCATTAAAATAAAACATTAATAGAGTTTTATTCCCGTGTCCTTAGTTATTTCTAGGCTTCTCGAGTGCTCAAAATTCAAACAAATTTCTATTTTTTTTTCAGTATATTATGAATATCCTGAAAAAAAATACATCTGACATGCTCTTTCACAATTGCGGTTACAGATATAATAAATTCCGATAATATTACGCTGATCTTCATTTTCAACCTTTGCCAAAACGAAAATGTTTTTGAACATTTACTGAAATTTTTTAAAGAATAATATTCAGTTGGCGTTTTGGTTGTTCATATGCATTTTTAAGAACTAATTTGTCATAATAAAATTAAAATTGTAATAATGTTTTAATTTTGACGCAACAACTTATTGAGTTATGTATGACCAAGTGATGGTAATAGTTAATAATAATAAATGTTTTATTGTAACGCGTGGTGGTAATAGTTTAAATAACTAGATGGATTTCACAGGGTCTAACGACACTTACAGTGTACGATAATTCAATAAACAAAGAAATCTAAATAAAAAATTTAGATAAATTTGGAACGAATACACTGAAGATGAATTTTTCGAGACAAAACGTCTGAATCTGGTTCGGGCTGAGGCAGTACAGTATTGGGGGTCATGAAGGCTTGCAAAAAATGTAATAAAATTTCTAGGGTCGTATTTAAAAAAATGAAGTTGATGATGGTCCTGGAGAGACGAAACGTTACATATAAAAATTGATTATGCCATTCGATAGAGGGCAAAAAGTGGCCATGAGAAAGTGTTCTTCTTTTTTCAATATCACCTCAAACAAGGCTGAAATGAAACAAAAGAGGATTTCCAGGATGTTAGCCTTGATTTTTTAGAGGCATAATGTTGGTCCCTTGATTATGCAATTTTGCCCCCATTTAAGCTAGTTCGTATCTCTTACCGTTTTCGAGATACCTGTAGTGAGAAGCGAATTTGTTAACAGCCTGTATACATTTTTAGTTTCAATCCGTTTAGCAAAATTTGGAAACAAAACCTACGACATTCTTGAATAAATTGACAATAACCGCAATATGCGTGACACAAAAACTATTTTCTTTTAGAAATATGTATGTACAAAATATATTATTATGAAAATCAAAAAGTCATTGGTATAGTAATTTTCTAATTTTCTGAGGAATGATAACCCCTAGAAAAATTAAAACAAAGATTTTTTTTATTTTGATGGTTACATTATATTTAAAATCATATGTTAAAAAATCTTATATTTTTTACATAAGACAAATAATTATTTTCTATTTATTAAAGCATGTCGTAGGGTTGCATTTTACATTGTAAAAAAATAAAAACTCAAACGGCTTGTTTTTCGATTATAACTGAAGATATTTTTTTTGTTGAAAATACCACTCAAAATTATGTATAATTTAAAAGATACTATACTAAAAATTCTAGAATTTCGACGTTACTGAGTATTTTTAAAAAAAATCTATAAGTTCATTTGATTTGCGATGGCATTTAAAAAAAAAGCTAAAATTACCACACAGCTGAATGTTCAGAAAATTATTCTAAAAGCAATCATTTCACCAAAAAAAAATGATAGGAATTTTTAGTATTAGTGTTAAAATTATTTTCGGATTATTGATCTGTCGCAAGCGTATTTAAAAAAAAATGTACCTACTTCGAAAATAACTCGTTTTACAAATAAAATTGAACTGAATTCCTTTGAAATTCACCTGCAAATCAAGTGAACTTATTTAGCTTGCAAAATTCTCAGTAGCGTCAAAATTCTAGGTTCTTAATTTCAGTGATGCGCGATATATTCCCCACTGGCTAAAATAATTGTATATAAATTGAATGTTATTAAGTTAAGTCGGTAGCCGAAGTTTCATTAATCTACGTTAAATACAGGGTGTTAGAAATTTGACTGCCTTATTTTAACAGACTATAGAATACATTAAAATAAACAAAAAAAACTTGGGTCCTAAACTCAACCATTTCCGAGAAAACAAGTATCAAAACATTCAACTTCATGTATAGCAATACGACAACGGCGCGCCGGTTTATTAACACGAGGTACTAAGGTGCCCAGCAACCACCAATACGCAATTCAATTGGTATCTGGATCAGGGAACAATTAGGAAGAAAAGTAACGCATTATTTGAATTGTGCGCCATTTTCATTCCGAAGAGTTGGCAGCATTGTACAGAGTTACATGTTGTAGCAAACACGTTGCGGTTAGAGAAAATGGACTGCTATACGACGGAGAGCGAGTGAAGATTGTGAAAATTCATTACAAGTGCGGAGAGTGTGTAGCTGAGACTGTATGCAAATTACGTAGAAGCAACGCCGCGAATGAAAGAGGTACTATTAAAAGATTAGCTACTAAATCTGAACCAATATGTTCGGTTGTAGACAATAAAAAACAGGCCAACGGATAATGAAAATAAAACTGTGATCCTAATTACACAACAATACGATCCCTCAATGGGAGCCGAAGACGGCTCATAATGAGGAACTTCCGCCGCGTTACTTGTATTAGCACCTTTATCTTTTGTTTTGCGTTCTTTGTGCGCCGAGGGCCTCTGAGGGTGCTCGGGACGATAAGGTCGAGATGCGGGGATGTCGGAAGCACGGCCCTTCATATAAGTGACATCTTTTAGTTTTTACTTGCAAATTGCGTGGGGGGCAGAAGAGGAGCGCCGTTTTTTAAGTCGCCCCTCGTCGTTGCACCACTCGAAAGCGCCTTATTAGGGCCAAATAGGGTAAAGGTGGGGTGGTACGCTAATTGATTTTTAAACTGTGCGGAACCGAAGGCCCAGATGATAGACAACGAAAACGGATATTAGAGCGAGTGTGAAATGAATAATTAGTGAATTTTTATTTTTTTATTTCAGTTTCATGTTAAATACTCAAAAGTTTTTGCGCAGGTCCAGAGGAAAGAAAAATAATTGTAGAAGTATAAGTTAACACAAAAAAGTAATAAGACAGCATATGCATAGGTTAAAATAATATTTTTCCACGATCGACATTAAAGGCGTAGTTTTAGTGACAACTGTCAGGCACATTTACTGCCTATGTCTTGAAATCATTTTTACTGCCGCTAAATTAAAAATTAAAATTTGTTCTTTAACGAAAGTAATTTTATTTATTGTATTTGGCCCAACGGGTCTCAGTTTTCGGGAAAATTCAAACAACAGGTAAAAATTCACAAAATAACTTTTGTCGATCATAAATGACGTTCTTTGTGAATTTTGACATGTTTTTTGAATTTTCCCGAAAACTCGTTGGGTCAAATCTGAAGGCAGATTTGGATTCAGCGGATGGGTCTGAATACCAGATCCGATACTTTTTTTTGTGGGGCTGCGATTAAATATTTTTTAATTTTTCTTTTACATTCTTTTTTGTTTAAATTTCTTACATGTGTAGGTAATATAGTAAAAAAAACCATTTTCCTGTTTTCTTATGTTTAAAAAATGTAGTATTTCTGTGATTTAACTTTCTGATATTACAAGAATTGGCCCTTAGAGATTCACTTTGAGATCGTTTGTGTGTGTGTATGTGAGTGTGTGTGTGTGATCTTGAAACGATCTTAAAACGATATCTAAGTGAATTGCAAGAACCTCTAAGGGCCAAGCGAAACCCATATTCGGATTCAACGATCACAAAAACTTGTACATGTTTCTTTAGCGATTTTTCTGATCATTTATTCCTGGTTTGACTTTGAAATGGCCTCTAGGTCACCTTGCAGAGTCATGCGACACCCATATTCGGATTCAGCGACCCCAAAAACCCTAATATGCCTCATCTAGTCTGGTAATACTATTTATATGAAATGTTGGTCAGACTCACTGAGTCATCCCTACTAGAAGACCCACTTTGAGGCCCAATATCTCGGAAACTATGCATAACTGGTCTTTGGGGCCATTGTGACTTTTGATCAGAATGCTAAAAACTATAACTCTGCAAAATTTTAGCCAATTCGACAAGGATTGATTTTGTGCGGGCCCTTTCGATTTATTAACATGAATTCGTGGGAAGTAGATCTATCTTAACTAATTTTGTTAATGTTATTGATTTTACTATAATTACATTTGTGAACAGGTTTATGTGAACAGATCTGTGAAAAACCCTCGAAATTGTTCTGAAGTACCTCAGGGTCCAGTTCTCAGCCCGCTACTATTCAATATATTCGTATATTTATATATTTTTATACAATTTTTGTTGTATTTATCTTTGTGTAACTAGTTTTTTGGGCAGTTGTATATTAAAGTAAACAAATAAAAGTAAATTAAATAAATTGTAAAATAAACATCCTGTACAAAGAATTTATGTGTAAAATGTGTTGTTCAGGAGGATTATTAGATGTAAAAGTATTTCATTATTTTTCATTATACCAGTGTGTTATTTCCTGTTAAAAGGAATTCTTGTTAAGTAATGAAGGACCAAACATTTTTAAGAATATGAAAAAAATCGTGAAAAACTTGACTGTTTGACGTAGCCAATTGTGATACAAAGGACCAGAGGTACAATAATAAGAATAAATAAAAATATAAATAAAATAAGTTTTTTTAATGTAAAACTTAACACAGCAGCCTACGAATAATAATGTGCCACACCTCTCCCGCACATATCACCTACTTCCGGGTTAATCCTTGCGATTAGAATGCTTGTTATTATGAGCATCGCCCTTACACCCTCTATATAAAAAGGCCTATAACAAATTTTATGGTAATCTTTATTTTATCAATAATTTTTTATACATATAAAATTCAATATACAGAAATATAATAATACTACAATGCTCGCTGGATTTTTTCCTTAAACCTATTAAGAATAAAAAAACAGAGAAAGCCCTTTGAACTATAGGGGTTGATAAAACAGACACCTGCGTGTTTTTCAGAAGTTTATACTTTAATACAATATCTAAACTACAATAATAAAATTGTGCTCTTAGAATAAAAATTTACTTAAATATCCAAAAAAACTAAAAAAAAAATACGTTCAAATTTTACACGTTGCTTGTAATCGGTCTAATACGGCCTTACCAAAGTTTCACAGAAATATAAATAGTACGTTCTTCTAAAAATCTTCGTGTGGAGTTTTATCGTAGAATCTTCTGGAATAAGCTGCTGGAGATTTGTCGCAGGGGTTGCAAAATCCGAACCACCGTTTTTGATAAGCAAAGGCTAGGAAGAGGAGCATTGGAATCGCTATTAGAACACCTGGAAGAAGACATTACTTACATAGTTAAAAAAACCTTCCAACACTTAAGATCATCTCTTTTGATGACCAGCAATATTTAGAGCGAAACAAGTCGGTGGAAAATCATCATATGTATAATATGAATTGTTATAAGAACATTTACAGATACTGTCGTGTCCAATTTGTAACATTCCTTGTCCACCTGGCCACAAAACTGAGGATGTCCATTACAAAAAGACGAAGAATATAGAAGCAGCAATCATCTCATATTTCGTTGTAGTATCAAAAACATTTAAGATTCTTCAAGATAATTCAAAGATGGTTAAAAGTTCAACCAAAAAAATTTCTCGTAAATAGCATCCCCAAGTTTCTAGACAAGTGGTGTGTTGTAAAGTAAAACCATGTGACAAAAAAGTCACAAACAATTTCTATGACTCTCTTGTAATAGCATTAGTAAAGAAATTAAACCCTTTTGGTGTCAGAACAAAATGAAGTTACCAAAGGTCTAAAAAATAAATAAATAAATTTACCTGCTAAGATGCCTACTAGCATCATGGCATCGTTCTCAGGCCTTGCACCATACATGTCCAAACACCTCATGTGGCTTTTTTTCTCGTACAATTCGTAAAATGAAAACCTCTCCATCTCAATGGGAGCTGCACATCTGCAACGGTAAACAACGTTTTCACATGTAACAAGCAAACCAATGAATGACACAACTATGACTTACTGAACCTGTTTCGCGCTCTCTTCATCAATTTTCAGATATATGGGTACCAAATCCTCAATCAACCACTGATTTTCACACTCGCAAGTCCACGGATTTGCCCTGATGTCCAGGTGTGTCAAACCGTCCCATCTAGCTATGATATCGCTGTCCAGATAGGCGAGCTTGTTGTTATTGATGTGAAGCTAAACAAAATATAATATTTAGACACTTTGTGTTTCAGTTTGTGTGAGATTGATTGATTATTATTGAGAAGATACTCTTTTAAATTTGATATACCTTTTTGATGGGTGGCCAAATGGCTCCTCCCGTGTGGTTCCTGATCATAGCCATTGCTAAGGGATCTATGTGGGATAAAGCGATGTTGTCACTCATGTGTAATTCCTCCAAATTGATCAGGCCACTTAGGGAATGTTTCTTCAAGTGACTCAAGTATTGGTTCCGGCAAAGATGCAACACTTTCACTGTCGGCATTTCAGGAAAACCACTGAAACGATAAGACAATGAAAAAAATAGTTTTTCCTGTGTAGGTCATATACCCACTTCTCCTCGGTCAAATTATCAAAGTTGGTGTTGTTCAGGTATAGAGAGGTCAGTTTGTGGACTTGCTGTAGAGTGGCGGGTAGTTTGCTGATGGGGTTTCCTGACAAATCTAGCACTTCGAGGAACTTGGGGGTGTGAAGCATATTGTCTGGAAGGGTGGTGATTTCGGTATATTGAAGATACAACTCCTAGAACAGAAACCATTATTAATTTACATGAAAGATGAAAGGCAACACAAAAATTGTTCCACTCATCAAAGATCAAAGCACTAAAACAATTTCTGCTGGAAAAAATGCATTACCTTCAAGTAAGCTAAACTGTCGATAGCCGCCAAGGTGTGTTGATCTATGGTTACTATAGGATTATAACTCAAATCCAAAATTTCTATGTCGGTTGTGTGCTCGAAGATGTCTTGATTTAAAGTGTGTAGTTTGTTATGGTCCAGCCGCAACTCCTTCAAACTTCTAAGGGGCAGCAGTCTGGTCTCCTGATAGACGCCCTACAAAAAAAATAATACCATTTTTAAGACTTATTCGTAGAGAAAATGTTATCTTCGCAAATAAACAGTTTCTTCAATATCTTTTAATTTGATGTTGATGAAATTCTTAACAATAATTTATGGATAATAATTATAAACGTAAATATTGAAAAGACAACAATACAGACAGTACAAGTTGACACAGCTATTTTCTTGTACCCTAAATTAAAAAACAAATCAACTGTTTACCTTGAAGGCATCGGGATGCAGGATCTCCAAATCATTGTAGCTCAGGATCAACGTGTTCATGTTCTGCAAGTTCTGGAAGACGCTATCCGCTATCTTATTGATGTCATTGTTGGCCAGGTTCAGGTACGTTAGGTTCGACTGCGGGAAGATATAGGTCAGGTCGCCGAACTGGTTGTTTTGGAAGTTGATGGACGCGTATGCGTAGGACTCGTTCGTTCCATTGATTTTCCAGTAGTAGTCATCGAAAATGTTGTAAATGATGTTCGTGGTGCAAGTCACGTCTGCTTGCTCGTCGTCGTTAGTGAAGTGACACTTGCAGATCTTACAGAAGGGTAGCTTGTCGGAGTCCGCCAAAGTGGATCCTACAAGGGCAGCTGCTAGGAAAATTAGTATCTTCATTCTGGAAAATGTAAAGAGAAGGCTTTTATTATTAGGTCTGGTTAGCAATGTTATAGTAAGAATGGTATGTATAAGCTTATTTTTTATTTAAAACATAGAGGTCAGCTACATTTCGCAATTTTCGTACAAAATATTGTCGGAATAATGAATTAACTTCATCAACTGTGAAGAGATTAATTGAAAAATTCAGGGAGACAGGAACAATCAGGGAACTTTTAAGTTTTTTTGTTTCATGGTTAAATGTGCAAAAAGTGTGCAAACATTAGAGCTACTTTCCTTATAAGTTTAACAAACTTTATTCCCACCAAATTATTATTAAAGCGGTTTTGTCAATATTTTTTGTTTACTATAACAACAAATCAAATTAGCTATAATATATTTACCCATGTAGTTGCTTATGATCGTGTACTAATTCATGTTTGTAACTTAAAGCTGTTTATTCTTCTTCTTTTTCTAGGTATATTATCAATGTCATTTCACTTCTAATATTAATTCGTAAGTTTTCTCCTCTCTTCCAATAATTTTGTTGACCTTCTTTCTTTATATTTTAGTTCGTATTTACATTACCCACTAACTTCTAGGTTTTTGACACGGCTATAGTTTAACAAAGTACCTAGTATGATAACACATTTTTTATGTAGATAATGACTAATGACTCAGTATCGACTTAGTATATCTTGCGATAAGCCAGTCAAGTTTTATTATACCTACCATAAACATATTACCGTTAGAAAACGCAAAATTTAGGTTAACATTCAAATTGATAGATTGGATTTACTTAAGTTCTATAAAATTTGGTGCTACGTATTGGTAAAAGTGCCTGCTTTTAATTAAAAGAGGAATACATTCCTAAATAACAACATATGACGCATCCTTTCTGCGAAATTTGTTTCTTAAAGCTTATGCCGTAAGATAGTAAAGTTAATGAACCATAATCACATAGTGTGTGTATCAGCCAAATGGAATAAATTCAATAAATAAATGGGGACGTATTCGAAAAAACGCTCGGACTCGTCGATTGCGCATTTTTTTCAACAAAATCTTTTTATACAGGGTCTGTCATGTAACAGTGGCCAATACCAACTTTCTTATTTTAAATGCTACGCCCTATTATATATTATTCAATTTTTGGATTCTTCAGAAAATTCTAGACATATTTCATGTACAATGTCCTATAGCTATATTCAACTGTTTCGGAAATATTAAGTGATTTCAGATTTATTGTAAAAATTAACATTAAAAAAAGAAAATTATTTATTTGATTACAGAAATTCGCTACAAGCTACAATACACTCAATGCTTATTTCCCATTTAGCTCTTGATAATGAGAAAGTAAGCAAAAACCATTTCAGCGTTCCTTTTTACTGATATGAAATAAAAGAAAACTATAAATAGTCTTGTTTACTTTTGTTTAAAACGCCTGGCCTTAGCAACGTGTTGTCTGCCTGAATGAAAGTAGTTGTCAGTGTTACAGTCGTTTGAATTTCGTTAACTGCATATCAGAAAAATGGTTCATTTAACAAAAATGCACAAAATAACAGTTCTACAGATGATTGGTTATGGACATAACACAAGGACACAAATTAAAGTTGCTCACTTATTTCATGAAAAATTTACAAATTTGCCGCCTATATCTCAAAAGACAATTAGTAGCTTAGACATGTAAGGCAGATAAAAAAGCAGCTGACAATGCAATAAGTGATGATACCAAATTGGATATTATGCTTGAGTTTGAGGAAAACCCACATACTTCTAGTCGAAAAGCATCCCCATGTTCGATTCCCCATTCATCGATCACTCGAATATTAAAAGAAAATAAAATGCATCCCCATAAAATGAAACTAACTCACCTTTACACTTCACGATCTTGCTAATCAACAAAATTGTCGCTATTGGTCTGGGGAAAGTCCTCACTGGATTACAAAAGAACATACGCAATACCCTGAAAAGGTTAATGTTTGGGCAGGAATTGTTAGAAATCATATCATAAGTCCCTTTTTCATTGATGGCAATTTGAATGGCGTTAATTATTTAGCACTGCTCCAAAATATTGCCGTGCCAACTTTGACAAACTTATGTCTTGATCCAGCAAACCCACAAGTTCCAACGAATATGATATGGTTTCAGCAAGATGGAGCACCGCTCCATACCAAATCAATGTCCGACAGTACCTCAACCGAATATTTCCAAATCGGTGGATAGGGAAGTGAGGATCGATGGAGTGGCCAGCACTCCCCTGATCTGACACCATTAGACTTCTTCTTATGGGGATATGTCAAAAATATTGTATACAAAACTAAACCCCTCGACTTCCCTTTGATTAGATCGGTCACGCCTGAGATGTTGAGTAACGTTAGAAGAAATTTCTATTTAAAATTGATTGACATTTTTTTTTTTGCTTTTTTACTTTATCAATAAATAAACAGTATTACTTATTAGTTTTTGAGTGTGTTGTAGCGAATTTTTGTAATCAAATAATTTTTTCTTAATGTTAATCTTTGCAATAATTCTGAAATCACTTAATATTTCCGAAACAGTTGAAGATAGGTATAGGAGTATAGGACATAGTACACGAAATAGTCTAGAGTTTTCTGAAGAATCCAAAAATTGAATAATATACAGGGCGTTGTATTTAAAATAAGAAAGTTGGTATTGACCACTGTTACATGACACACCCTGTATAAAAAGTTTTTATAGAAAAAAATGCACAAATAAAAATACAATCAACGTGTCACAGCGTTTTCTCATTCCATTTGGCTGATTCGTCAACTGTGTTTTGAAATGTTTTTTCTTAATTTTTTAAAAATTTGTATTACTATGTAATTTATTTCTATTTCCCGTAGCTACTTGTAACTCATTGACAATAAATTTGTAATTTTTTTATGAAATAGGAAAATGTACAAAAAAACAATAAATTAATAAAAATAAGGAAATACATTTAATATCTATTAAATATGCCTATTTTTATAACTTTTGGATCAAACTGATGAGCTAAATCTAGATATTGTGGTACGACATGAGTTGTACTCAAAAGTTTTTCATTTGCAGATACAATTAAAACGTTTTAGCGAAAGGCCAAAGCCAAAAAGTGATAAATATGTGCCACACCTTGAGATATTTAATCATCACACATACGATATTCGTACCTGAATTTTTTAGTTAATAAATATTTTGATGATATCAGTCATTTAGATACGATATCTAAATTTCATTGCACAATAATATGCGTCTAACTTAACCAAGAATTATAATAAAAATAAAATAAGGGCGAAAACGTATATGAGATCATCGTTACGGCATGTCATTGGCACAAGTAGACACTGTTTTTTACCTACTTCGTAAAGCTAATTAACCTACTTAGAATTATTAACCTAAAATTGTATTTAGACATACCTGTGATGCATTGAAATCTTTGGAATCGTACTGACACTAGTACACTAGCATAGTTTTGACACAACCGCACAATTACTGACTGTATAAAAAATATAAATAGATTGACGTTATTTTCCTTCCAACAACTAATTCTGACTAACTGGGTAATCTATTTATCTTATCTTGAGCAAATATTGGGAATACGATATTTTCTCTATACATACCAGATAAAATTATTTATTACAGGTGCTACAAATGAGTGTGATCTGATACGGAGCTTGGCAAATATTTGAATTTTTTTTAAACGAAAAACAGCCATTATCCATCCACCGCGATTTTGGTGCTGCGAAAGATGATTACGTTATTTTGTCTGGTTTCGAGCAGTATCTACTTCAATTAATAATTTCAGTGATACCAACGTCTTTGTATCAATATTTGCTTAATATTTGGACTGTACAGTTTGTTTTTATTAACTGCAGCGTAATAAGGTTTGATTACATCAGTCTCATTGCTGCCAACTTAGAACAGTTGGGAACATTATATCTTTATTTTTACTTTTTCAGAATGAATGTGAAAAAATATTGTTATACGGGGTGCTTCATTAAGAATGGGACACAACTTAATGGCAGATGCCTGACCCTCACATCCAAACAAGGCAAATGAGTCATGCAAGCATTGATCAGATGCTACTGATTTTCAATTTAAACGTTGCTGAAAAACAGGTAGAAATTTCAGGAGTTATGCTTTTCCGGGTAAGTATTTCAGAAATAGTATGTATTACTTTTGTGGTTATCGGTAGAGGGCGTTAATAATACCTTACAGTTGAAGTCCGTGAGATCTAATTTTTTCCCAGTTTATGTGGGCATTTTTAAAAAAGCAATTAAAAATTAATTAATCAAACCCTTGTACCAGCAAGATCAGCCAGGTGTTATATACAGGTTGTCTTACGGTAACGGTTCATTAGAATATTTCAGAGACTACTTCGATTTCAATTTTGAAAATTTAGGCTTTGGGGTGTTCGGGGGACCTCTCTTTAAATAATATAATGCCATTGTTGTAGTACTTCCAGTTACTACCGCCATTTTGCAAAGCAGCAGCTATATTCTTAGCATATTACACCGCAAAATTCACTACTTTGAAACGTTGTGGAGATTGGGAACGCTTCAGTAGCTGAAGGGTATGTCGAGAATTCTGTTCAACAGAAAATCAAGATGGGGAAGACAATTTTGAACGACAACACTGCTGATGCTGCCTCTACTGCTGCTTGTTTTACGGTTACTCGCAAGAGAAAAATAACTTCATGTCGTCGGTTTAAAGTAAACAGTTAACATTAGCAACAAAGTCATTAGAAATAAATTAAAGAGCAAGGGGTCCAAGACGGAACCTTGCGGAACACCAGATGTTGCATCAAATTTAACAGACTTGAAACCACGGTATTCTACATACATTGGGAGAAAAGTTGGACTCATTTTCACTCAATTTCACTCAATAATATATCCATCTCTGTCCATCTGATTGAATAAAGTTTTCCTCTATTAGTACGACTAGATACAACTTATGAGTGAAACTAGCAGTTTCAGTTCAAATATTAAAAATGTGTAAAATTATCAAAATGCCTAATATTGAGTGAAAATGTACTCAATAATTTCATTCAAGCTTTCACTCAGACCGATTTATTTACAGTGTACAATTTACATTCTATTTTTGGTAATGGAATCCAATTTCACAACGCAATTCTTCATTTTGATATGAATACTAATAAATAATTAATCGTTTAATGTTATTTTCTTTATTCAGATTATAATTATTTTTATCTGCTCCCACTATTAATACATTGTTTTTAAAGAGATAAGTGGATTTTACCGTAGAAGTGGAAGTTGGACAACTGGATGTAAGTGAGGTATTTTATATACCTCCCTAGGGAAAAAGGCGATATCGAGTAATAAATGCATATTTTATGAACGAATAAATAGAAATATTAGATGAAATAAACAGTTTATTAATTATTATGAATGAATATGTAGTTGTACAGTTATTACATTTAATAATAATAATCTTTATTGCCCAACAGATAACATCCATTTATAGGACAAATTGTTTACAGAAAAGTTACAATGCTTAACACGTATATATATAAGACACATCGAATGAAGTACGCAGAAGGCTAGTAATATTGTATGTGCATACAATACCCAAAAAAAGAACATATAATATTCTTATATAGAATTAAACCTAAATCAAATCACCATATCTTATACCAACAGTTTCAACTATCTGATTGAGGCTGCTAAAATTAAGATCACACAAATCTGATATTTTATTGAAATTTCGGCACATAATATGTACTGGGGACATCATGAGACACTGCGACCTTGCTCTAGCACAAATAAAGGTATAGTTCTGACGAGAGTTTATACGAGGAATACAAAAACAAAACTGGCACAATAGGGATGGACATTCTAGATTATTGTGAAATAAATTATATAAAACTTTTATACTTGCTAGAACTCTACGAAACTCCAGAGAAGGAATATTGAATCTGTTAAGTAGAGTAGATTGGTTATAGCCTCTCTCCGGATAAAAGCCATCTATTTTGAGTGACATAAATTTCAAAAATTTCCTTTGTACATTTTCCAATGACAGCTTCAGATAGTTGTAACGTGGGTACCATACCAATGAACAATATTCAAGCTTAGATCTTACGTATGAGTTATACAGAGACTTAAATGCAATTTCATTTGAAAATAACTGACAGTTGCGCACGATACAGCCTAACATTTTTAAAGCAGATGAAGTAATATCATTTATATGTTTAGAGAAAGTAAGTTGTGAGTCAAACAAGACACCCAAGTCTTTTATGGAGTCCACCCTGTTAAGTACCTCAGAATTAATTTTGTAATGATATGTTACTGGATGCAATTTACGAGTGTAAGTTACGACCTTGCATTTCATTATATTTAATTCCAGACAATTACTAGTGCACCAGTCGTTTAATAAATCTAATTGGTCTTGTAACTTTTGACAATCCGCAATATCCGACACTTTGCCAAACAACTTTAAGTCATCAGCAAATAAAAGTTTTTCACAGCATATTTGAGATGTTAAATCGTTAATAAAATATAAAAAAAGTAGGGGTCCTAAATTAGACCCTTGAGGAACTCCAGAAGTGGCTGTGAAAATACTAGAATTGTGTCCAAAATACGTAACGTATTGCTTTCTATTCATAAGATATGACTCGAAAAGGTTGCATAAATTATAACTGAAACCGAGTGCACTCAATTTTTGTAAAAGAATTTTATGATCGACACGATCAAACGCCTTTGCAATGTCAGTGTAAATCACATCTACTTGCCCTCGTATATCAAGTTCATTGGATATGAATTGTGTAAGTTGACATAAGTTAGACACTGTAGATCGTCCACGCATGAAGCCATGCTGATCCCATGATATTAGAGTTTTTGTAGCAGGATAGATGCGATTATAAATCGCTATCTCGAATATTTTTGAGAAATTGCAAAGAATTGAAACCGGTCGATAATTCTTAACTTCGGTGTTATTACCACTCTTAAAGATCGGACATACTCTCGACAATTTCCATATTTCAGGAAACGTAGATGATTTTAATATTAAATTGTAAATAATAGAAAGTGGCTGTAAGAGAGCTCTTGCACAATCTTTCACAAGAAAAGCCGGTATCTTATCGTGACCCGATGTCATTTTGTCTTTTAAACTATTTATTGCCTCTAATATTTCTTCATCAGTTAAGCTCGTTATATACAAAGGCATTACATCATGGCTACATAATTGCTGAAAAGGATAATCCACGTTACTATTTGTCCCAGAATAAACACCACTGAAATAATCGGCGAAAGCGTTAACAATAGATTTAGGTGAGTCGAAAATATTTAAGTCATAGGTAACTGAGCTAGGTATTCTAGATGTGCCCTTTTTGTGTTGAATATAAGACCAGAATTTGGTAGGGTCACTTACTACTGCATTTTGTATGCTGTTGATATGGTTCTTGTAAGCAATATTTATTTGTCTTTTTATCAGAGACCTCAGCCGTTTAAACTCAAGCAAAAAGTTTACATTCTTTTCCTTTTTATATTTTAATCGATATTTATTTTTCAACATGATATTGTTTTTTATCTCAGTGGTGTACCAAGAAGGAAATTTATTCTTGCGTTTAAAAGAATATGCTGAAACATGACGATCCAAGATAGCATTAAAAATAGCGTAAAAATCAGAATCATTTAATAACATTTACAAAATCTGGATAATTATTCCCTTCACGTTTATTAATTGTCACATTTTTCTCAAAATGATTTGACCGCTCCATTTCAGTCACCGGAAGCTCAATATTATCTGACTGATCTATTAAAACAGCATGATGTGACGTACTACTAGAACCTGGAGTTGAAGTGTCATTGTGAAAAATCCTGTTGGCTATTTAATTTTTGTTACTTAAACTGTCAGCAACACAACTTTCTGCAATTGTGGCTGATTTCCACCCATCATGTCTCTTGATTGTTAATATCTACATCAACTCCTGTATTAGCCAGTAACGTTGTCGATGTTCTTCGGAATGAATGGCCTGTATATGGCTCAGAATGTTCTAGTTTCAAAAACTGTGCAATCTTATTAGGGTATTCTTACCGACTGGTTGGTTGTAACATCTACCTGCTTGATAGAGCATAAAGAAGCGTGAAATTTCAGTTTTAATTTCCAATATATCTTGATATATTTCTTGGTTAAGGACAGAAATCAGAAAAGAAGTAATTGTATACGTACGTGACTTACCATTTTTAGAATCTGGAATTGTAACTACAATAATGTCATCGAAATTTTTTAAATTGACGTCCAAAGTAAGTTTGCTTAACTCATCAGAACGCCATGCTCCTGCATTGCCTAAGACCGTCACTACCTTCATTAGCAAATATGTGTTATCGGGTGTCTGAACGAGATGACTTAATCATTGAGTATTCACTCCACAAACTCGTCGGTGACTTTAAAGTTCTTGACTTCTCCAAGAAATATGCTAGCAGTGACATTTCAGAAACACCAGTATTTTTGTTATGGCACCATTATTTGAAATTTCTATATGCTCGTCCGTAGCGCACTTTCGACTTCTCGGCCAATAAAAATTCGCAGGCAACATTTGCT